AATCAATTATTTTATTTTTTTTTACTTTTTCCATTGCTGAACCCATTCAATCTAGTACACATTTGAATAACAGCATTTTTCTCTCAATTTCATGTCAGCAATAATTCACAGAGCCACACGTAGTCTGCAGGAGGTACATTCCGGCACAGCCTTTGCATACAACGCGACAAAAGCAACAAAGCCCTAGTAGAAAATATTATTTCCACGCTGCATTGCTCAAATTCCTCAGCAATTAAACTTGTGCCGCCAATGAATTCACTTAATTTACTTAAATGTGAATTTGTCATTGTGAGCGTCGCCGGGGGCATCGCGCTAATACAGCACGAAGGATGCTAATTAACTTGAGCAATGCCTTCGCACTTCAGGCTGCGAAGCTAGTAGTGGTGGACAAGTAGACTCAACTGTTTGTTTGCTTCTGCATGCACATCTAATTGTTTATGTAATTTAAGTAGCAGAGGTGTACGGCAGGCTCTTCTGCCTGGTTGGCGCTGCTCTTCAGGCTTTCTTCCAAATTGTTAATTGTTTTAATGGCGTATAAATTCTGGCTGCCAACAGAATTTTCCTTGTAAGACATTAGTTACGCTGCATTTAATAATAAGCAGTTTGAGTAATTACGTATTTGGTGGACAGATTGGCGGGAATAAAAATAAATTAAAGCATTTGGCAGGTTTTTGTAAAACAATATTTCTGGTAAAATAAAAAATGAAGCTTCAGGCCCAACAATGATTTGAAAATGTATAATAAATAAACATGAGTATTAGTTTCGACTGCAATGAAATTTTCATACTAATCAGAGGTGCATTTTTTATTGCATAAAAACTTATAAAAAGAACTTTATCTTGATTTTGAACATTCAATTTGCCTGGCAGCTATATGTTATAGTGGTCCGTTCTGAACAATTTCTTCGGATATTGTGGAAATATATTAGAAAATTGTACATACCAAATTTCGTGCAGATATCATGCCAAATAAAAAAAATATTTTCAAACAAGGAACCAATTTCAATCGTTTAGTTTATATGACAGCTATATGTTATAGTGATCTATTCTAAACAATTTCTTAGGAATTAGTAGTGTTATATTTAATAATAATCCTAGCCACATTTTCTTAAGATATCTTGTCAAAAAGAAAAAAATTTACAAACAAGAACCTATGCTATAGAGTAGTTTGAGCTAAACAATTTCTTCGCAGATTGTGGCATTGCTTTGCACGTAATCCAATACCAATCATCATACATCGTACAAAATTTCAGATCGATATCTCAAAAGCTGAGGGGCTATTTCATGTATAACAGGCAGAAGGACAGATAGATAGGCAAAAGAATGCCTTTTTCTATTGACGAAATATAGTTGCCAGCGGATCAATATTGTCACCTATTCGCAATTTTTTATATTTTTTATTTATTTATGTAAAAACTTTTAATTTCAATGTACTATGTACAGCTTGCCATGGCGTATGAGTAATATTTTTTATTTAATATCACTCATACGCCCCGTTTAGTGCGCACATTAAAAAATTTTATAGCTAAAACAATAACAGCACAAGTTGTAATAATAAATTTCGGTGTTATGTAATTTTTCGCTTTCCATCGCTATGTATCGAATATGACAACAACAATTTTGCCAAGCATGTTCGCGTTCACAATCGCATGAAAACATGACGCCCACGCATATTTTTGCTTTCAAAACGAATATTTATGATTGTATATATATGCATGTGGATATATGTATAGTACACTTTCAATTTTTTTTTTTATATATTTATCTGCAAATTAACAACAGTCATAAATTGCGTTTGCGTTTGATTTTTTGAAGTTCTTAAAGTCACCAATTGCTGTTAAAATATTTAATTTAACTTCAGACAAAACAAAGATCTCAAGCCTACAGCCTGAAGTAGAAGTGCAGCAATACTCTCAACTCAGCCGCGCTATGCGCTGGATGCGTTTGCAAATTTATTACAGCGGCAAATGCATAACATTTGTCGAGGCGTCATATGGCGAAATAAATATTTATTACGGCGCCAAGTGGTCGTGCTCTTCTGCTTACTTATACATATGAGCGATATGCCTACATATAAATAGGAATGTGTATTGGTGACTAACATGCGTTCTGTTCTATGCTTTTGAAAATAATATAACTGTACCACTTCTTTAATAGTTTTACATAGATACAACTCTCTCTAATATTATCGCCTTGAACATATTACCGACTAAAGGTGAGGCAGCCATCCACAGAAATCTTGACTAGACCGCAGATACCTACACTTAATTCTATCCACTGGAATTTGAAGATTATATAGTCATTGGTAATGTTAAGTTAGATTAGGCTAACAGGTCAATTCTAACAGGGATCTCATGGGCCTTACTATGTAATACTGCCCGTCACAATTTTTTGACATTAATAATAATATTTTCGGCTATGCCTCTTGGTTTACCGACGTTAAGATCAAAGAGATGTTTCAGCGGCAAGATCCAGACAACTTGGCCTTTGGTAGGTACATGAGTACCTATTGGCTTATATCCAGTAAGAACTCCTACGATTGTCAAAAAGATTTCGCTGATGTTAATTTTGGTGAAGACAGACACTTCTTGACTAGCTTTGAGCGCACAGTTAGGGACTTCAGCGCTGAAATTGCGGCTCTGCTGTCGGGTTGAATTCTGCCTGAAAAATACACCAAGTGGCCCGGTAGCCTAAAGTTAAGACTGATGGAGAGCTTATTACAGAAAACATTCCCTTCAAGCTTCGGTCCATGCGTGAAAAAGCTCACTGCTCGCAAATTATAACTTATTTACGTATATAACTACCATTGGAGCTTATATCACTGTTAGATCCTACTAGTTTTAGTTTGCAGCTGAATGCTATATGGCAAATGAAAAATCCTAAAACATTTAAGTCAAGAATGGAAATATATTTAACTTGAAAATTGAATTTTTCCATTTTTTGATAGGAGAAATTTACTCAGAGGTTTGCTTGTAAAATTGGCTGTCAGAAAGACCCACTTAGAACTTTAATTTATTTTTGACAGATGCGGTTTCACGAATTCTGTCAATCATAAGTATGTATAACTTACTATTCAACTGAAACTAAAACGAAAATTTATATGAAACTTAAGGGGTACTTTAGTCTGGTAATTTGAAGAAATCTAAAATTTTGTGTTCATAATTGGACAGTCTACATCTTGCTAAAAGGATTTTTCAAAATACAATTTATTTTCGAATTTATAGCCGTTTTGGCGTCGTGACAAGTAAACCGTATTGAGCGGATGACGTAGCTTTAAATGCGTTCTTTTTTTTTAAACTACGTTGCCACAATGTTACAAGTTCTGAACAGCAGATTTACTTGAAATATGCTATAAATAAAATAATTTTTTTTAAATTCGACAATGTAAAAAATTTTGTAAAAAGTTGACTTCACTTTTTATAAAAAAAAATTTCAGTTATGCAGATTTAAAAATTGTATATTTTTAAAAAATTCGATAAAACTGTGAAAATCTACTTTAATTTTTGGGTAGCCGCATTTCTATAGAAAAAAATTCCAGTTTTGCAGCTTCTTGAGAAAACGACATTCGTACTTACCAAGAACCCACGTTTTTTTTTTCTTTGTTTTTTGTTATTTGGGCCTCTAGGCGAGAATATCAATTTAATATTAAATTTCTTTGATCCATTTTCATTACTTAATGCGATTAGATTTACGTTTCTATATATTTTCTGATCAGATTTTAATTTTACACTTACATACATTGTGACAAAAAACACGGAAACTGTAATTAAATTCCCCGGATAAAGGATATTTCCAAAAATATACATATATTTACTAAGTTTGTAGCACTATCCTTAATTACTATACAAAATATGACAGCAATCTGTCCACCAGTTTATTTACAGCAGCTGTTTAAATCGGTACTCCTGCGTTTTGACTTTTACAATGGATAAAAATATGGAACAAAGAATTTGTCTAAAATTTTGTATTTCTCAGCAAATTTCATGTTCAGAATCATTGTAAATGTTGGAAAAGACTTATGGTGACTCAGCTTTAGCAAAAACACAAGTCTACAAATTTGGTCGAGACATGCTTCGTTCTGGACGAACTTCAACCTCTTCAATTGAAGAAAATGCGAAAGTGAAGGATATGACGCTTGAAAATCGCTGGGCAAATGTTTGAGAGGTGGCAAGCACCACATCTCTCGCGAGTTCGTTCGAATGATTTTGGTGGATATTTTGGATATGTGCGTTCTTGCTCCTCTCGTCCTGATAAAGCTGAATTATAAATGAAAGAGTACCGTAAACAGGCCGCTTTGGAATTCATGGAAAGCATTATAACTGCCTATGAGACATGGGTTTATAAGTTGGACATGCAAACAAGTCAACGATCATCGGAATGGAGTAGAGAGAACAAGACGAAAGCAAGAAAACCACTCTTAAGAAGCTCAAAAATGAAGGTGATACGCATTGTGTTTTTGATATTCGCGATTTTATGCATCATGAATTTGTTCTAGAGAGACAGATGGTCAATAAGAAGTTCTATTTGGCCAAGAACATCCGTTAAAAATGGTCGGAATTGTGGAAGAACAATTCATAGATTTTATACAATGATAAAGAAATATCGCATCGATCCACAACAGAATTTAAGGCCAAGAATTAATTATTCACCAGATTTGGCTCCGTGTGTTTTTTTTTTTTTTGTTTTTGTTTTGTTCCCCAAACTGAAACTGCTGCTCTGTGGAACCCGTTCCCAATCAAAACAAAATTCGTTGAAGGAGCTGAAAGCCATCCCAACAAGTGCTTATGAAAAGCGTTTCGAGGACTGGAAAAACTCGTTCACATAAATCTATTACATCTGGTGGGGATTAATTTGAAGGTGCAAAAATAATTATGGATGAATAAGTATATTGCGTTTTATTTACAATTTCCGGGTACTTTTTTTTGCCACAATTTATAACGTCTCTATATCTTTTCTGTTAACATCAGATTTTAATTGTACACTTATATATATTTAACTCACCAGAATAATGATATTTTTGTTGTTTCAGGAAATTCCATCCGATTGCTGTCGACGAATTGCGGTACTATTTTTATCAGCGTGTACATTTCGGTTTTGACACCGACACTAATAACTGGGTTCGCGACAATTCACCGAGGTTGCACCATGATCGTTGCGATTAAGTAAGTAAATGTTTGCTTTACAGCTGATTATATATAGATTATAGTTGATATTTGTATATATATTTTGATTAATGATTTAATTTGTTACTGTTCAATATTTTATATTTTTTAACAATTTTTCGTTTAGAAAATTGTTGTTTTTTCTGCTTACATTCGAAACTAAAATTGCACATATGTATGCTTTAAGTTAATTTACCGTTATATGCTTGTTCGAGTTTCACTACACTTACAATATTATGTAATTGTCTTTTTTAATTGTTGAATTATAATTACATGTCGATTATTATTACATAATTTCGAGTGAGTGTAGACTAAGCGACTGCTTGTTGTTGTTGTTTAAGCACTTTATTCAAAACTACGTTAATGCGATGAAAGTCCACTACTGCTATTAACGGTTATTTGTTTTTAACTAGTTTATATTTTATTGCTATGCGTATGTTTTAGAATATTTTTGAAGGTTTTTGAATATTTTTGAATATTTTCGAAAACATGTATGCTCTCGACTTCCCGCTTTGTCGCGCACAGTTCACTTGTGAGCCGCGCGTGTGCAGCCTTCAGCGCGTACGCCAGCATTATGCGTGCTTGGGAACCTCTAAAGTCCAGCTGACTTTGAATTTTTAGCCAATTGGCCATTGCTAGATTGTGTTGGAGCTGTGGCCGTCTACTTTGGCTCGGCTTGGCTTGATGCGGTGTTGACATTTCGCAAGCACAACGCTGCGACTTCATAATTTGGCGTTGACATTTGCCAAAAAAAAGTGAAACCATGGCTTGATTTGGGATATAGCCAGCAGCTGTCTGCCGCTAGACTGTTTTTAGCCAGTCAGGTGTGGGTTGGGGTGTTCGTTATAGCCAGCATTCTACTGGAACTTGCACTCCACCTGCGCCATTTTATCGAAAACTTAATTGAACCACCACTATCGACAGCATACCGTTATCGCGGTGAGGTGGGCTGGTGCGTGCGTTCGACCAACGTGTGCATCTGTTGACGTGCGATGCGCACTGTTGGTAGCTGCATGATTGAGACGGACGTATTTTTAATTGCTACTTTCCCGGTTGTTGTTGGTAGTTGGTTGTACGTAGGCACCAGCGCAACTTCCTTGCTGATTGGCAACTGACAAAGTCGGTCAATAGGATTTCCGTTAGTTTCTGGTCGACATTTAGCAAACACTTCACTGGTGTGGTACTTAAGCTCGACCGGTTGTTGTTTTTGGCCACGATCACCGCCAGCGTCGTTGTTGACTGTTGTCTGCGATTTGCTGTTGTTATTGCTTTCTTATCGCCTGTTGGCCAACACTGGATTTGGATTTGGCTAATCGTCTGCACGTTCCACCAGCGTGTTTGTATGAGTGTGCGTGTGTGTTGGCTGGCCGTTGGCATCATATTCCTTGCCGCTTCATGACATTTCTTGATGACTTTTTGAGTTGTTGGCCAAGTGCTGCAATTGTCATCGCCAATAAGCAACACCAACACACGACATATACCGTTATGTCTTGCTTACTGCTTAACACGACACTGTGTGTTTGTCTTAATTCTTGGACTTGGATCACAACATCATCACATCACTTGAACAGCTGCTCTCTTGGCCAGAGGTTGTGGAAAAATAAAACTGAATCGCCAAACAATGAAGACGAAATATACATATGTATTATTTTTTTGACGATTTTTTTCCCCTTGTGTTTAGTGATTTGCTGCTGTTTGCTGTTGTTGTTGCTCGTATTTTTCTGGCTGCCGTGTTGGCGATTTTCTTGGATGCGTTGCGATCCAAGAAAATCGCCCGAGGGGCACACCGCCACTTTCGGTGCCAAGCAGGCACACCACACGTTGTTGGCTGCAGCTACTTTGTTGGCCAACTGACTGACGACTGCCGTGCCATGGCTCGGTTTGTTTCGGTTTGGCCTGCCAAACGGCAAACAGCAAACGGCCGGCCGCTGTCGCAGTCGCAATCGCCTTGCGTAGTCGGCCAAATCGTAGTCGGTCGTCGTTGTTGGCGCGTCATCATCGCGCATTGCGACATCGTCTTGTTGTTATTGTAGTTGTTGTTCTAGCAGTGCATCGTCGTATGTGGCCAAAAAATAGTCGCAAATTGGTTTGTACTTAACCCAACGTGTCTCTTTTTGTCTCATTCTCCGCAAAGTTCTCATACACGGCATGTTAGTTGTCGCTCTATCGCTCTCTTTATTTTGCTGTGCGACTCTCACTACGGCATACGTTGCCAGTAAGAATGTCTAAACTTGTACACGGTAAAGTTAAATTTTCTGCTTGTGAAATTTAAGAGATATTGAAAGCTCTCAAAATTTCGGAATTCATCATAATATGTCAACTCAAATTTGAAACTATTCGAACATATTTAGGAATATTGAATGCCGCAAACTGCTCGTTGTGTTGGGCCCTTTGGGAAGATTCCTGGTGACTGCGCTTTAAACCTAAAGGCAAGTAGGATTGAAAAATTCAATTCGGTATTAAGTCGCAATGCGGCCGGGTGCYGGACTCACAGCACGGCTGATGTTTTAGATTGGCCTCGAAATCGATCAACGAGGAAAAGATGTCCCTTCCACCCGACCTAATGGAACCAAAAAATATTTGCAAGGAGCATTTATTATTTGGCGCGCCGATCAATGTATTGTATTGATCTATGTGCTTTAAAAGCACCGTGAGGTTAGAACGACTTTGCCAGGCGTAAATCACAACGATAGTTGTCCGTCGGTAGATATACGAACCTATATCCCTCAGTTTTTGAGATATTAATCTGAACATTTTCCCACCCAAAAGCTGCTCATTCGTCGGGACGGATATCGGACCACTATAGCATACAGCTAATATACAAACAGAATGATCGAAATAAAGTGCTTGTATGAAAAGCTTTTCCATTTGATGATATATCTTCAAGAATTTTGAAATGGGTAATTGGGTTACGATGCAATTTGCCATAATTATATATAATAACATCGAGTCACTATAGCATATAGCTGTCATACAAAGGAGCAAACGAAATATTGTATTTGTGAAGAGTATGATAGCTTTGGGGCAACCAAAATCAACGTTTGCTAAAAGAATGGGGAATCTAAAATAGGCATATGACAGCCGATATACATGTAAAGAAGTAATCAGATATTATTTATATAATATACATATATTTTAATGACAAATTTTTTCCTGTTGGCCTACTTTGCGACATTATGAAAAATTACACTGAGAAAAAATGTGTCTAAATTCGAACGTGTATAACTTTTTCTAACATCTTTGCAGTCGTTATTGTTGTAAAACTATACTATTCTATAATCTACCTTAACGACTGTTCCTTGACTAGACTTGCATCTCTGATTGTCAAAATATCGAATAACACTTGTAACATGCGATTCGTATATTCTTATCGCCAAAAAACGCGTTTCTCAAAACTAATTTAAAGTATTTGTGAAACTGATGTTAACTAAATTTACAAAAGAGTTAAGAACCGATCCCTTGATATCAGCTGAAACATACATATTTCAGTAAACGGAGTCGATCAGGGCTAACGGGTTTACGTAACCGAAATGGACGCTGATTTTTTATCTTGCCAAGGACTGTCAACTCGGTAAAATATAAAACTATACGCCGACTTCAAGATCTCGAGAGTTGATTTAAAACATTGTTGTTTTTGTATTGCCTCAGAGGAAACCTGTCTTCAAAGCCATAATAAAGTTAAAATTTGAATTAACATGGTTTCTAACATATTTTCGAACTTTTACTATAACTTAATAAATTTTGATTCTGTGTATAACTATAGATTCAGCCCAATACTTCTATATAAAAAATATTCTTTTTTCTGATTTTGATTTTCTGCTGGTTTCTTAATCCTCGCATTGTGTTTTCAAGTTCGAATTATTTATTCATACAGTTATTTTACCCTTTACGTACTATCTATCAGATCTGTCTTTTTTTTTTACACAAAACTAGCCTCGCACTCATACTTTCTTCAAGTCAAAACAACGTGATCCGTTTGCCAAATTTCCTTAAACTAATACATTTACGGGAATGCCATAAAACAAAGCAGTATATCCATATATACTTATATAAGAAGCATACATATCTATGCTCATATCGCTGATGCCTACCCATTGACAAAGTCTCCCCGTCTTTTTGCCATACTTTCAACGGCGCGCCACTCAAACTTTCATCAACATCTTACTTGCCAGTACCACTGTGCCGTTAGTTGCTTTTCTGGCATCTTGCGGATGTTTCGCAACTTGTATTTATCTTGCTTACTCCAGATCCAGAGAAAGAGTCGAGTGTTACACATTTTTTCGCCAAGTGGACTTGGACGCCGCCGTCATTGCATGCCGACTTTGGAGTTGCTTGTCTCCTCGTCGCGCTGCGGCTGATTCGGGCGCTCAGCTGGCACTGATGGCTGTGTGTTCTGTGTCCTTTGGCCCGGTCGTTTGGGTAGGTAATAAATAAAAATTGAATTTGCACAGGGAGGGGTGAGGAGATACTCTAAATGCAGAGGACAAACAAAGCAAGCAAAGGGACTGCAATGCATCCACAGCCTTGCGGGAGCGCGTGAGTGTGGGTGGTCAACGTTTTGGGGGGGAGATGTGAGTGAGTGTGTGTGTCGGTTGGCGCGCGAGTAATTGGCGAGAGCATTTAGCATTGTAGCGCGCATGTTTACAGGATGTGTCGAAGTAAGCACGTGCTATACGCTTGTTTACTTGTTTGGCTGTTGTGTTTAGTTTGTGGGCACACGTGGTCGTTGTGTTGACTGACGATTTGCAAAACGCACACACACACTGTTTTAAGTAACTTCATTGTGGTCAAAGGGTGTTTAGTGAGAGTTTGTGAGAATTTTTTTCTATATATTTTATTTGTAGAAAATAAATATATAAGCTCCAGTGCATGTGTATTTGAGTGGATTTTGTTTAAAAAGTAACTGTAAAGAGTTTGGGTTCGTCAAAAGCTCCTATTATGTCACCCTTTCTATAATATTTGTTCTGCGCTTCATTAGCCCTTAATCGTGCCACTCAAGTATAGTTATTACAAACACAAAGTTACTGAAAGCGTGTTAATTGTTGTAAAATTAACACTAACCATTTCGACATGTGTGCTGCATGCAACATTTACCACAAAAATGGCGAAATTTC